GTTTTTGTTTAGAAAACAAAATCATATGAATTAATATTAGATTGTTTGCAATTGTATGTTTTCATTTATATTCTTACGTATTATCAAATATGCGGTCTTTTGTCCAACATGAGCTATAGAATGTTAAGAAAGCATATAGTAAATAGTAAATGTAACAATTCATTGTTCATATATAAATAGATTGCACCCTCAGTGATATTAACACTATTTGGGAATAATATATCGTTCACAAATCTCGTAATAATTCTACTACCATAGCCTTGTTTTATACTCCCTCCATTTTGAAATATAAGGCATTTAAAGTTATTGCACAAATATTAAGGAGATATTAATTAATGAATAAATTGACTAAATTAACCTTATTTACTCTTATCACAACCACTCCACACTTCCTTAATTTCAACATAATGAGGGTATATTTAGAAAAAAATACAAAAATTTGTCTTGATTTTTTAGCGTGCCATATATTTCAAAAAAATTAAAAAATCTTTATACGTCTTATATTTCAAAATGGAGGGAGTAACTTATTATGAGCAGTGCATATCAAAAAAGACGCATAAAAATAATTGTTGGCTGATAGTATAATAAGTGGGGGATATAAAACAATATATATATATATATATATATATATATATATAATAAGAATAATCATTTCTTAAATATTGTAAGTCAAATTCTTAGTTAACATGTTTTGCATTAATTATTTGCCATTAATGGTAATAAATATTTTTTTTTAAGCTTCCCCGTGCAATTAATGCTTTCCAAGATTTTTGGGATGTTGTTATTTTGTAATTGACCAATGCACTGATTTTGCGTTAAAAAATCTTATCCCATTAAAAAATCTTATCCCATTAAATCTTCTTAATACAACACTTATTTTATATTAAGAAATAATAATACCACGGATTTTGATTTTCAATCATTCATAAATTAAAGAATCTTATAAAAAGAAATTAAGAAATAATAATACCACGGATTTTGATTTTCAATCATTCACAAATTAAAGAATCTTATAAAAAGAGAATAAGAGTTATAAAGCATGGTAATTTTAGATATAAAATTCTATTTTATTTGTTATAACTTTACATGGAAGTTATGTTATAATTATCGATATTATCTCAATGCCTTGCTTTGCCTTTTATTTATTTTTATTTATTTATTTATTTATTTTTACTTCGCTTTCGTGAGACAATATCTCTTATTAGACTCATAATATTTTATATAACTTTAAACATATTGTTTAGACAATTTTGTACACATTCTATCTATGTATACATGTCCACATACACATATACATATACAGAGAAGGGATCATATGAGAATGATAGTTAATGCGAGAAATAAGAATAAATATGTACCATTAGATCTAGCATACCAATGGTCATGATGAAGTCAAACATTAATAAACTGGTCAAAATACGATGGCATAGTTGTAAATATATGTATATTTCATGGTCAAGTATACACTCAAATGGCACTTGTGTAATTTTGGTTTCATCATAATTAAGTAGGTCCCACAACTAATTAACCCTTCCCCTTCCCTCTCTCACACACACAAATACACACACAAAGTCCGTTTCTTTTTCACGCACACACACACGCACGCAGTTCACACACACACACACACACAGAGACGGCGGCACCACAGCACACAACCACCGCCCGTCGCCTCCGACCACACCCAGCGCCGCCCCTCCATCGCCGGATCTCGCCTCGCCCTCGCCAGATCTTCACAGCGCCACCATCATCGGCCACTTCGATCTCAACAACCACGTCCGATGGCGAGCTCGCCGGCGACCATGACGACAGCGGCCGCACTCCGCTGCAACAGGCGTTCATCGGTGGCCGACGTCGTCGTCGGTAGCATCTCCCTTTTCGGCGGCGGGTGATTGTGTGGTGGCCGACGGATGGCGACGGCGGCGGTGGCGAACGGACGGCGACCGGCAAAGCTTCACCGACGGCCGCAGGATGAGGTGCTCGAATGGATGGAGATGAATGGGCTTAATATCCATCAGATTGTTCAATTTATGTACAAGGCCTATTTTGGTGAATTTGATAAGATTTAGGGGTGTAGATGCAATTTTAGCATTTTTTATATATTGCACTTTAGTTTATTGGTGAAATTGTAATTAATCAAGCAATTATTAATATTTTAATGTTTCTATTTAATATTTAATATTTTTATATTTGTTATGGTTGAAATTTGATAATATTTTACACAAAAACTATATTAATAAAATGAATAATATTTTTCATATAGTTCATTTTTTTAAGTAAAAAAAAAAAGTCGATATGAAATTGGCATAACCAAGTTTTTAAATGTAAAAAATTGACAATTGAATTGAAATTAAAATTCTCGAACTAAAATTTTAGTTTGGTCGAGGTCGTTCAATTTTGTGCAATTTAATAGTCATCAAAGTAGTCATCAAAGTGCAATCTAATAGTCATTAATGTGCAATTTGTATAATCATAAAATGCAATCGTCATACATACAAATATTTAAAAAATTATTTTTACGTTTTTTTTGTTATACACATATATTAAATAATAAAAAAATTACTAAATAAAAATAATATAAAATATAAAGATAATATAAAACAATATATAATACTATAAAAATTATATAATAATAGTAGTTACTAATAAAATATTTAAATTATTTAAATTAATTATTTATACAATTATATTTATTAAAAAATAGTGTTTGATTACACATAATTTATATGTGTTCTTATAAATTATTTCACTTTATAAACAAACACCTTTGCACTTTATACAACAATATTTTGCACTTTATAAAATAAGACGTTGCACTTTATAAAATAAGAAGCTACACTGTAAAATAATATATAATTATAAACAAATTATATAATAATAGTAATAACTAACAAAATATTTAAATTTTTTAAATTAATTTTTTGTACAATTATATTTATTAAAAAATTGTTTTCGATTACATATAATTTATATGTGTTCTTACAAATTATTCCACTTTATAAACAAACAATTTTGCACTTTATAAAACAATATGTTGCACTTTATAAAATAACACGTTGCACTTTATAAAATAACAAACTACACTATAAAATAATATATAATAATAAAAAAATTATATAATAATAGTAATAACTAATAAAACATTTAAATTTTTTAAATTAATTATTTGTAAAATTATATTTATTAAAAAATAGTTTTCGATTACACATAATTTATATGTGTTCTTACAAATTATTTTTTTATTTTTTTGCCAAAACGATAGAGATCATATCATAAAAAACCCGGGAACAATGTTCAAATACAATAGGCAAGATCCTACTCAAAGAAAAGAAAAACTAGGAGGTACTACACATAGTACCTAGAGCCTCAACACCAACACAGTCCAAAGGGACAAAAATACAGAAATTATGACACTATCCACTGCCAAAGGCCTAGCTAGCAACCATAACTCCCAAGAGCACAACCAAAACAGAAAAGGAAAAACAAGAACAGAAACTACAACTATGAAAAACAGCAACTATCAGAATGAGCTTGCATTGGAGCCTGCTGCTTCTGAAGCCTCAAGCCAGTTCCTGTGAGCAGCTGCAACCACAATGTGCTCTGGCATGAGGGATTTATTGAATATACATAAGTTCCTGGCTTTCCAAAGCCACCATAGCAAATAAGTGGTCAATTGGATCCTGTCCTGCACAACTTCAGATTTCTTGATTTTGCTGATCTGTTGCCACCAACATTTGAAGGAATTAGTGAACTGATCAAGGCCATCCCAAAGGACTGGAGAATAGTCCCAAACTCTCCTAGCTCTGTAGCAGAAGAACAAAATGTGTTCTGTTGTCTCAGGTTGTTCACCACAAAGTGCACAGATAGGATTTATATCCACTCCTCTTCTTCTGAGATTTGTTGCTGTTGGGAGAGTACCAGATATACACTTCTAGATAAAGTGTTTTATCTTCCCAAGAATTTTCAGGTGCCAACATCTTTGGAATATTTGGTGAGGGGGCAAAGAGGAGGAGCTTGATTCAGGTATGTCCAGTTGGTGAAGCTTTTGAGCAGCCAGTGCTTTATAGGTACTAGAAACTGAGAATTCCCCTTTTGGATCAGGACCCCAAAGCCATCTGTCAGGTCTAGCAGGATTGAGAGTGTTGATTTTTAAGATGGCTGCACTGTCTTCTGAGTTAAACACCTGCTCAATTAACCAAGAGTTCCATTCTGTTCCATTGTTAGACAACAGCTCATTCACCCAGATTAGGTGACCCCTTGCAATGTCAATGAGAGTAGGAGATGGTTTCTTCAGATTAGGGACCCAATTGCTATCTTCTATTCTGGTGTTGAGCCCATTCCTTATCTCAATTTTTACACATTTGGAGAAAAAGGGGAGTATAGACAACCAACTATTCCAAAGCCAAGACGCTTTTTGAGTCTTCACAGCACTGAGGATAGAATCATTAGGGAAGTACCTATCTTTTAGAATTCTACTAACTAACAGCTCAGGATTAGAAACTACCCTCCAGAGTTGCTTGCAGATAAGTGCATCATTAAAAAGTTTGATATCATGGAACCCTAAACCACCAAGGAGCTTAGGGAGAGTGATCTTATCCCATTTCTTCCAGTGGATGCCAGAGTCAGAGGATTCTCCAGTTTTCCACCAGAAATCAGCACATAATTTAGATATTTCTTTGCAGATGGAGACAGGGAGTTTGAAACAGGTCATAGAAAAAACAGGTAAAGCTTGAAGGACAGATTTCACCAAGACTTCCTTACCTGCTGGAGAAAGGAGCTTGTTTTTCCATCCCTGCAGCTTGCTTCTTATAGATGTCAGAATGTAGTCAAAGACCTCCTTTTTGGACCTGCCAATTCCCAAGGCTAGTCCAAGATACCTGGTGGATCTGTGAGGCACTATTCCATTGAGCACATTGCAAATTCTGTCTTTTAGATGTTGAGGTGTGTTTCTACTGAAAAAGATTCCAGACTTTTGGAGGTTGACCCTCTGGCCAGTGAAGTGTCTGTATTTCTCCAAGATATTAAGAAGGTGAAGGGCTTGATCCACTCCGGCTCGGCAGAACATCAAGGAATCATCAGCAAATAGGAGATGAGAAATGGCAGGGCCATTCTTTGACAACTTGAGACCATGTATTCTTCCTTGAGATTGAGAGTCTGAGATCATGGCTGACAGTAGTTCTGCAACAATGATGAACAAATAGGGGGACAGAGGGTCCCCCTGCCTGATGCCTCTGGTAGGTTTTATGTATCCACTCACCTCGCCATTAATCTTGAAGGATAAAGAAGAAGAAGAAACACATACCATGATCAGCTTGATAAAGTCAGAATGAAATCCCATTTTTTTCATAATTCTGTATATGCAGGGCCACTCAACTCTGTCAAAGGCCTTCATGAGGTCTAATTTAAGAGCCATAAAGTAATGATGGCCAGAGGAGTGTCTGTTGAGGTAATGAAATGCCTCCTGTGCTATGATGATATTATCCATTAGCTGTCTGCCTTTGACAAATGCTGACTGAAAAGGGCTGATGCAGTCATTCAAGCAAGTCATAAGCCTTTGAGCTAGCACTTTGGAGAGAGTCTTATAGATGACACTGCAAAGGCTGATTGGCCTGAATTGGCCCATTGTTCCTGGTTGAGCCACTTTTGGTATCAGGGAGAGGATAGTATGATTCCAGTATCTTAAGAGCAGACCTGAGTTGAAGAAGCTAAGAATAGCAGCCAGGACATCTTTCTTAATCAGCAGCCAAAAGTGTTGGTAAAAGAGAGCATTCATGCCATCTTCCCCGGGAGACTTATCAGGGTGTAAGGAAAATAAAGCAGACTTGACTTCCTCTTCTGTGACTGGTTTTATAAGGTTCTGATTCATATCCTCTGATATAGACTGTGGTATCAGTTGGATTATGGAATCTCCATCCCAGCTTCCTTCAATAGCAAAAAGATCCGAGTAAAATTCTGAAATGTGATCTTCAATTTCCTGCTGAGTTGTGATAACTTCCCCCTGAGAGTTGATAAGCCTAGAGATAGCATTTAGTTTTCTTTTCTGCATAGTGTATGCATGAAAAAATTTTGTATTTCCATCACCCTCCTTAAGCCATTTGATTTTGGACCTCTATTGCCAATGCATTTCCTCTTGCTTGTAAGCTGCATTAAGTTCAGCTCTTGTGTTATTCCATTGCTCCCAGTAATCTTCTGCTTTGTCCTCTCTGAGAATTTCCAGCTTCTTGGATAATATGTCAATAGTATGCTGGTTCTGAGTTCTGAATTTAGAGCTCTATCTGAGCAGTGCTATTCTAGTGTTCTTCACCTTTTCCTTCAATCTGAAAAAAGGAGTCCCAGATGTTGTTTGAGCCCAAGTTGCTTCCACTATATCTTTTATCCCTTCCATACCTATCCATCTTTTGTCAAAATGGAATCTGGCATTTTGTTGAGGCTGAGGCTGTCCCAAATTGAGAAGAAGCATTGAATGATCTGAGGAGCTTCTTATTTTGTTGGTGACAAGGGCATGAGGGTATTCCTGTATCCAATCTGAAGATGCAAAACCCCTATCCAGCTTTTCTTCAACCAAACCTTCTTCAGTTCTAAGATTGCACCATGTGAATTTGTATCCCTGCATTAGGAGTTCTTCCATCTCCATATTGTTGATAAATTCATTGAATCCTATCAGACTCTTAGCACTTCTTAAATTGCCACCAAGTTTGTCCTCTTGGCCACACAAGTCATTCCAGTCCCCAATAGCAAACCATTTTGAACCCCAGCTAGCTTTATCTTCAATCATTTCAGCCCATTGAATAGCTCTAATTTGCTTGCAGGTATTCAAATAGACAAAGACACCCCACTGGGGGGTAGAGTGAGGTAACTCAAATTCAACAGCAATGTTGTTGACATCCGAGTTCGCCCATGAGACTGAACCGGACCACAATTACGAGAGCCGAACCAGAGACCCGGTCCTC